GCATCACAGCGCGGAGTGACCTCGGACACGCGCTAGGCGACATCGACTCGCTATCCAATTAGGTCATAAACTGATCTCGGGCCCAAGGCCCAACAAAACCCTAATACACACAAAGGTACGTGCATTACTTATATGAGACTCATACACCCACAAACACTAACTTTAGCATCGGAGTCTCTTTTGCAGGTACCACCCTCATCTTGGAGCATCAAGCGTACTAGCGAAAGAAGCTCACCAATCTTACTCGGAGGATCATCTCTACATTAGATTTCTGGTAAAAACACGAATAAAATTAGTTATTCGCATAATATTTGGTTAATAATTAAATACACATGAGCATGGGACTAGTCTCATAAAAATAATAATTTAATATTAATAAGTCTATCGTTAAATTACATTCATTTCCATCAACTATCTAAATTCAAAATATCCATCGATGACTATAATAAGTTGTACTTGTACCTTGTAATAAACTGTATTACTTCAATCGTTAAGACCGATGTAAGTTCTACCTTATTTTCACGTAAGTTTTAATAAATTATTATTGGGGTTTCGCCCTTCCTTAAAAAAAATAAAGTTGATGGTTATTATTGAATAAAATAAAATAATTCATCTCTTCAGTTAAAAAATAATAATTGATGAGAAAACCTGTATTATTTAAGATTTGTAAAAGGGCAACATAAAATAAATTATAAAGATTATTTTTAGATTATTTTGTCTATTTTATTTGGGTATTTGGTTAATAATTAAGTATATACGTTCGAACATACTATTGAATAAGGGTGGGCATAGGGCCCAAAATATACGTTTGAGTGGATTTAAAGTTAATTAGTGAACGGATGGGTTCGTAACGTTTGTTTGCGTCAACATATGGCCTAATACATTTATTTCGGACATTATCAACTCTTTTTATATTCTTTTCTCATTTTTTTCATTATTTAAATTTTTTCAAAAGCTCAATTGGCCATAAATCTGAAACTGGGTTATTTAAAAAAAATTAATTCTAATAGCCTAAAGATCAAATAAATCTCATATTTTAATTAATTATAAGTTCAAAACATTTTCTCTATAGACGGTGTTTGGACAACCATAGGCCATAAATTTAGGTATTCAAAACCATATTAGCTGATAATTGTTAGGACTGCGTCATATTATTATTGTCCTCACACTTTTATTTTATCATGTTCGGCCAGCTTTCATTTTTTACCAGTTTAAAATTTTAAAATCGAGCTCATTCAATCAAACTAGCAAAACTTTCAAGTTTTAACTCGCTCTGCTTAATAAACCACCCGAAATGGCCCATATATATATATATATATA